ACAACCACCCCTACTCAAGAAGTGGCAAGGAGTCCTGCACAGGTGACGGTCCAGAATATGCGCATTCCTGAACCATTTCATGGCCGGCCGAACGAAGATGCACAAGACTGGCTTGAGCAGTTCGAACGGGTTGCTAAATCGAACTACTGGAGTCTCGATGGAAAGCTCTTCCACGTATACTTCGCCCTTGAAGACGGCGCGAAGACATGGTTTATAAACCGGGAGGCAACATTGACGACATGGGAGGAGTTTTGTCGTCGGTTTGTTGACACCTTCGGTAACGCGGACCGACGCGAAAACGCACAACGCGTTCTTGAAGGACGCACCCAACAGCTGCATGAAAGCGTCGCCATGTTTGCTGAGGATATGGTGCGCCTGTGCCACCGCGCGGACCCCCACATGCCCGAGGCTCGAAAGCTAACCCATCTCATGAGGGGCGTCAAAGAGCAGCTATTTGTTGGTCTTGTGCGCAATCCGCCGACAACAGTGGACGAGTTCACCAGGGAGGCCACCGCAATAGAACGTGCGCTACAGCAACGGTACCGACAGTCTGATCGCCCGGCCACCGGTGCAGCTGCAGGTGCCGCCGCACTTCCCGCAAACGACGAGTTTGCTCTACGCCACCTGATTAGACAGATCGTGCGTGAGGAGATCGCGAAGGAGAACGCAAAATACACATTGCAGTCACAGGCGCCCCCGCAGCAGGAGTCCACGGTAGCCTCCGTCGCTGAAATAGTTCGCCATGAACTTCGACAAGCGTTTGCCTCTCCTCAGCAATATTCCGCTCCACCGCACCGTCCAAACTCGTATACCTATGCAGATGCTGTGCGTCGTCCATTGGCTCCAGAAGTATTGTACCAGTCGAACGGATACAGCTATGCAGACGCTATTCGTCGACCCACGCCCATGCCAGCGCCGCAGTACCTCGAACCGTATCCTGTGGCAGCCTGGGCTCAGCAGGATTCTGTCAGGCGACCCTATATGCGGAAGACCGACATATGACGCACTGCGGATCGTCGACCACTCTGCTACAACTGTGGAGAGCCAGGGCACATTTGCCGTTTTTGCCCACATCGCCGAGCTGAATACCGCGTTAGTGCACCTACAGCTACGCGCCGACAGTTCGACGAAAGCCGTGCCCCCATCGATGACGACCAGGCTGGCAGGCGGGAAGGCTCTTCTACCTTCCGGACGCGGTCACCATCACCGGCTCGCTTTGGTTCACCAAGCCGCGGTAGTTTTGCTGACGCCGTCAGAGGCCGGTCTCCCAGCCCACGGCGGGGAAACTGAAAGCAGCGACCTCTGGGGGGAAGGTTGCAAGCCGTCGAATTGCCAAAAACCCCCACTGCTGCCAAAACACGTGAGAGACGACGATGAAGACTTCTCCGAAAAAACTGTGACTGCCGACCTTGCTGTGACGATTGACGGCGTTGAAGTGACGGCCTTAGTCGATACGGGTGCAGACTTCTCCATAATGAGTGAAGGATTGGCAGAGGAACTCAAGAAAGTCAGGATGGAATGGACGGGCCCTTATATCCGAAGTGCTGGAGGCCAGATAATGACTCCCACGGGAAAATGTACAGCAAGACTCACTATAGAGAATGCTGCTTTTGTAGCCACATTTCTGATCCTACCGGAGTGCTGCAAACCTATGATTCTAGGAATGGACTTCTTAAGAGAGTACGGTGCTGTGGTCAACATACGCGACGGTGTGATCACATTCGCCGCTGACAAGTCTGTGACCACTGATCCAGACCAAGAACCCAGGGTGTTACGTGTGGTCGATGACGACGTCTGCGTGCCACCACTGTCATGTAGTCTTGTTTCCGTGTGTTGCGCCGTGCACTGTAATGAAGACGCCATAGTCGAACGAATCACTGACCTAAGGCAATGCCATCGCTCGCGGTATTGTCAGCTTAGTGGATGGGCGCGCAGAAGTGCTTCTGACGAACTTCACGAATGAGCGCCGGCACATCGGTAAAGGCACGGCTGTGGCGTACCTCGAAGAGCTGGACTACTCTCACGACTGTCTTCTAATGCAAGGGGAAGCCACAGCTCAATCACCTCCACATACACCACCAGTTGATATTGGTCCGAGTCAAACACCGACTGAAAGATTCCGTCTTATGGAGCTGCTCGACCAGTTCAAGGACTGCTTCTCATCGACATCACGAGTGGGTCTAACGCCTCTGACTAAGCATCGTATAATTACGGAAGACACAGCAAGACCGATCCGACAGAAGCCTTATCGCGTCGCTCAGAAAGAACGTGAGGTAATGCAGCAGCAAGTCAAGAAGATGCTAGAGGATGACGTTATCCAACCATCAAAAAGTCCTTGGGCATCGCCAGTGGTACTCGTGAAAAAGAAAGACGGCAGCTTGCGTTTCTGCATCGATTATTGTCCATCTCATTATCGTATATAAATATATATATATATATATATATATATATATATATATATATATATATATATATATATATATATATATATATATATATATATATATAATATATATATATATATATATATATATATACGCGCCCATATATCGCCTTTCATGCCGGTTTTCATATTTGTATCTTATTGATATGCACATGTATATAAACAGCACTCGTGCCGTAAACTGTATTCTGATGAAGGCCGGACCCACGGCCGAAACTTCAATAATATCACTTCGTACGTGCGTCTTCTTCCCTATACGAATAATCTTTCCCGGACCCAGCATCACTTATGTTTTTGGTATATATATTTATACATATATATATATATATATATATAAAACTATATAAATAAATAAATATATATATATATATATATATATATATATATATATATATATATATATATATATATATAATTATTCTGCCGACGTTTCGACGGCCACCCCGTCTTTTTCAAGGCATAATGATATTTACACATGTTCGGTGTCTTCTTATAGCCTGTCGAGACAGGGGGGCAGGGGTAAAAAAAGTAAAAAGAAAAGATAAGCGGTCACGGATGTCGTACAGTCCCCTCTCCCCTTTTTTTCTTAAATTCTTGGCGCACACTTTCTATTCCTTCACTGACAGGAGCCTTTGCATATAATGAATATCGATGGCGGCGCCTCAATTACCGGCTTTTCTATTCCTCCCGACGTCAACAGCACGCACTCGAAGCGCTTAAGCTCTCCCCATCAATTTATCCTAAACTTCAAAGAGGAACGAGCCGCCAGATGATTACACGGGAAGGTGAAATACAAGAACGTCGGCACACTGCCCACTTGGGGAAGCGTGGGTGTGGGTGAGGTATTGTTGACATTGATGGCAATGCTCGTCTACCTCCACCCTACTCTGTTGAGATGCGGCCCCTTTCCAATTCCGTCGTGTCGGTCTTGCTTATTCTCCTAGATTTTCTATATTTCTTCAACGTTTCTCCCCCCCTTTCGTTGTTTCTTGTTCTTTTTTCACTTTTTTTCTTTCTACTTTTCTTTTGACCCCTTCCCTCCTGCCTCGACACGCTATAAGAAGACACCTAACATGTGTAAATATTATTAGGCCTTGAAAAAGACGGGTTTCCCGTCAAAACGTCGGCAGAATAAACAGTTGTTATGTGAAAGCACATCTACTTTCATATTTATAACCTTGCGGCAACCGAAGTTATTCTTCTGCATAATATAAGCAATATAAATAAATGAATATATCTATATATATATATATATATATATATATATATATATATATATATATATATATATATATGCCCATTGCTATTCATAGTCATGGTGCAACTGAAAGTCTGCCCGAAAAATAACGTGTGCAAAATGGTGTTGCCAACGTGCAGCATATCTCACAAAATTTACTTATTGCGTATCGCAAGCATGCTTGGATGCACGCAGTAAAGTAAAAAAAAGCATGTTCACTAAAGGCAACCTGTGCATCAGGGTCGCTTCATATATAGAGATTAGAATGAAAATAATTCCTATAGACATGAAGTCACGCATACCAACAGTAAGAAATTTGCTCCGCAAAGTAAGCAAAACCGAAATATAATTATGAATGTACAACAACATGCTGCGTATACCTCTCATTCCTCGTTGTAAGCAGAACTGTCCTTGACCTGTCAAACGCACTTCGCCCTGACGATGACTACGCCATCTACGCTTAACAAAGATTAAGATTAACAATTAACGATGTCTTTTTCGATCGGGTGGTTAATCGCAATAATGCGTTTTTTAAGACTAGTTCGTTCAATGATGCGGCGAGAGGTCATTGCTACAAACGGTCACTGCACCTGTCGTTCACTGTATTTAGAGTACTTCTTACAGTACTGCCCCGCCGCCGTGGTCTATTAGGTATTGTACTCGGCTGCTACCCCGGAGGTCTCGGGATCGAATTCTGGATGATGCGGCTGCACTTTCGACGGAGGCGAAAATGTTGCAGGCCCGTGTGCTCATTTTTGGGTGCACGTTAAAGTGGTCTAAATTTAGACCACGTGGTCTAAATTTCTGGAGCTCACCACTACGGCGTCTACCATAACCACATGGTGGTTTTGGGACGTCAAACGCCACTTATCAATCAATCATTCTTACGGTACTTTTACTTACTCGCTTCACCACCATAGGCGTTGGGCGAGGGGGAATCTCAAGACTTAATGTACATGTGCGCCATCTGCTTAAACTACCGCCGATAATGACGTCACAGAGAATAGCTGATGCCTCGGCCCCCCCACCCCCCCGTCAGGTTGGTGTGAACCTGCCCCCCGAAAAAAATTTCTGGCTACGCCCCTGTTTTTTACTATGTAACCTCACCCCCTCTGTAATGTATTTTTACCCAAAGGGTACTATATAGATAAATAAATTAATTAATAAATTGATAAATAAATATATATATAAATAACTCAGTTAACTGTTTTTGTGCAAGTAAACATTTCTAGCAAGACGCGACAGTGGTGCACAGCTGAGTTGGTGTTTTCCATTCGGCAAGACAGCAGTAAATGCCACGGAAAGCAAGCGCCAGGAAGGTTCTTTTCAGATATTTTTTTTATTATATGTGACAAACGTATACAGTGAAGCGCAAATTGATTTCAAAACAGAGTGAAGTGTTTATTTGGCCTTTTAGCAGCATTTCCCAAAGCCATGTTCTCGTGATGTTTTCTTGTGTTTATTCCGTGTAGTGTCGAACTCCTTATCGACATCGTAATCAGTACCTGCAAAAGATACGCTCAAAATGGTAACCATTTCACGACAGTGTAAAACACGACAACAATCTACAAATATGGGAACTCGGGGCATTCCGTTGCTAATTATTTTGCAATCAACAGTGGTACTCTGCAAGGAGCTATGCTGTCACCCGTGTTATTCAATTTAGGAATGACCACGGCCGCGGAAAAACTGAACCAGATTGACCATACACGTTTTGAAGTATACGTCCACGACATAGCCATATAAACCACCGATGGTTGCATAGGGCCGACTGAGACAAGACTGCAAGAGAGCGTACACACCGTGGAAAGCACTTGGTGAAACGGGATTAAGCTTTTCGGAGCCCATGTCTCAGCTTTTGTTCCTAAAGACCTAAGAAACACAAAGGACGGCAAGGAACACAAGCTTTTCTAGCGCTGTCACGATGAATTCATGATCAATCAGGTCGAAAATAATAGAGCTTTAGGCTCCCACAAAAACGCTGGAGGTGGTGACCTAAATGCTAATCAACCAATTATCAAGAAAACAGACCAAGTCATCAAGCTGCTAAAGAGAATCACCAACCGACAGCGGGGCTTTGGTGAGGACAGTACTTTGACAGTATGTGGGGTTTCACGTCCCAAAACCACCATATGATTATGAGATGCCGAAGTGATCGACTCCGGAAATTTCGACCACCTGGGGTTCTTTAACGTGCATCCGAATCTGAGCACACGGGCCTAAACCTTTTCCGCCTCCATCGAAAATGGAGCCGCTACAGCCGGGATTCGATCCCGTGACCTGCGGGTAAGCAGCCAAGTACCTTAGCCACAAGACCACCATGGGGGGGGGGGGGCGAGAACAGTGCTTTAAGACTAGTACACCTTCTCGCTCTCCATCACTTCACCTACGAAGCAGGTCTACTAAAATGGTTGCAGGCCAAACTGAACAAGCTACGTCGACACTAGAATGATAAATCTGGTCAGGGCTATCCTAGGTACATCCATCAGCACCTCCGAGGAGAAACGCATGAGCCTAGATGTGCACATACGACGGAGGACATAGTGGAAGTGCAACAGATGGCACAGCAGGAAAAATTGACAAAAGCGCCAGCGGGTAGGCTGATACTCGAAGAGATCGGTCAGCCCCAAAAAGTCAAGGTACCCAATGGAGGGCGAAGTGGAGTTATGTGCGAGCTTACTAACGTAATCAGAACTACGGCGCTCTCAAAAACCGTGCACCCTAAACACATTGTTAGCAGTATAAAAGGGAGAGCAAAGGCTCTACTAAATGAAACTGAACAAAATGGACCACAGGTGGTCCACGTGCTCACCGCCTGCAGGAAAGGCGAAGAGGCCTACACGGCCGGGGTGGTCGGCAACGAAGATGAGGTACGCGACGCCATCACCACACTATCTAAAAAAATTCATAGTTGACGGATCATGCGAGAGGCCTTTGTCCTGCAGTGGGCGTAGTCATGCTGATAATGATGATGTCTCTGTGCCTGGAGGGAAACTTATCGGTAAACTCGACGCCATATTCGAAACTGAAATTCGATAGTGTTCTGCACATAAGGGACAAGTGAACAAGACTGGAATGAACCTAAAGGAGGTGACGAAGGACGTCGCACGAGGACTCGCCTCGCCGATTATAACCAGATCAACGCTTACACTACCATTCCGGGTATCATAAATATAATTTATGGACTTGGAACAATATAACAGTATAGTACTACACGGGGCGTAAGCAATTACCAGTGCCTCACGGAAAGTTGAACGGGGCTTACGCAGTCACGCTACGTTTTTACTGGAAACCGGGACTTACCCCCCTTCGTATTATCTTAAAGGCGTTCCCCCCGAAAGCAAGGTTCGAAAATGGGAGAACCCTTAAGCTTCCCCTTTAAGTGCTTAATGCGGTAGTGATACCCTGTCCGCAATGTGTACTTCAACTTCTTAGTGCACCCTTTTTATTGTATCGTGTTACTTCAGAAGTTTATATTGTGGATTACTACAATATAATCGATAAAGTTAAAGGTGGCTTGTGTAAATGATGTTTAAGCATATGGCTGTTTTCTGTGTAATTAATAGAGGTCACATTCATTCACTCTGTGTGATGGGCAGCATGCTTTAAACCACGAGTTATTATGCGCATGAAATTTTTCGACTTTCTATGCACCCACTACGTAGTCTAGAGAGAATACGCGCAGCACTGCGTGCGCCTCTTGCAATGGGCAGCCGGCTTTAAGCCATGAAGTTATTTCGTAATAAGATGTTCTGCCACCCGATAGCGATGTATTGTCGATAGCAAGCTTATAACACTAACTCGCCGACGTGTTATTTGGACTAGTTTGGCTGATGGTAGCCACAAACTGGTGGGTGCTATTGCCGAAATAATACCTCGGTATGCAAGGATGGTTAGTCAGAATCTATAAAAATCTTCGCAACAGTACCCATATGTGCACGGCGCTAGCGGTAACCAAACTGTTTTAGGACATGCTGTGGAGCGTTCGTGTTAAGCTTGCTGACAACCGTACGCTTGCATCACGCAATAGCACTGTGATATACATGTTATATTGTCACGACGTACGTCAAAACAGAGGTCTTGCCGCAGAGATTGAGACACTAGAAGCAGGTCGATATTTTTTAATTAAAACGTGCAAGCGAGTTTTTCTTTTTTGTTCATTTCGTAGTCCTTCGTGGCACATGCACAACTGCCATCGTCTGTCTTGAGCAATCACGTGACATTTGCCTCCCTCCGAAAGAAGCATCGTCCCGATGCGCAACTTAGGTGCTCTATATACCAGGCGTATGAAGTGGTCGTACGAAAACGGCAACCGGGAGCTAATTAACTCGATAAATACGGTTTCATACGCACGAGTTGCACGACTTCGGGCAAATGCTTTTGGCGTCTAGAACTACAATCAGTGTCGGGAACAACTTCGTAGTTCACGTCGTTCAAGCGTCGCGTGACGCTTTATGGACCAAAGTACCGTCTTAGCAGTTTCTCACACAGTCCACGTCGACGTATCGGAATCCAGACCCACACTTTGTCGCCTGGTGCGTAGCTAATAAACTGGTGTCGGGTGTCGTAGCGTTGTGTATCTTGATGCTGCTGATGACAGATGCGCACGCGCGCGAGCTGTCTGATTTCTTCGGCACGCTGAGTGAATTCTTCGGCGTCTACATGGATGTCGTCACACTCATGCTGCAACATGGCGTCCAATGTTGTCATGACTTCGCGACCATAGATCAGACTGAATGGTGTCATGCCAGTGGTTTCTTGTCACGCAGTGTTATAAGCAAAGGTCACGTACGGCAATATCTGCTCGCAGGTTTTATGTTCCGTGTCAACGTACATGCTGATCATGTCTGTGACGGTCCTATTGAGGCGCTCCGTCAGTCCGTTTGTCTGCGGATGGCATGCAGTTGTTCTCCGGTGAGCTGCACAGCTTAGTCTGAGAACCGACTCCAAAAGCTCTGCGGTGAAGGCAGGTCCTCTGTCTGTGATCACTGTTGTCGGAGCGTCACGCCGAAGGACGATGTTTTCAATGAAGAATTGAGCGGCTTCTGCTGCTGTGTCGCGCTGCATAGCTTTAGTCTCCGCATAACGGTACAGGTAATCAGTGACCACAATAATCCACCTGTTCCCTGTTGTGGAAGTTGGAAAGGGACCCAGGAAATCCATTCCAATCTGGGTGAACGGCTTTTCTGGTGCTTTGACTGGATTTAAAACACCGGCTGGCTTGCTGGGTGGCGCTTTGCGTCTTTGGCAGTCGGTGCAAGTTTGCACGTGATGATTAACAGCAGCAGGTAACTTTGGCCAGTAGTACTTGCATCGCAGTCGGCACAATTTTCGGGTGTAGCCTAGATGACCAGAAGTTGCTTCATCATGGCATGCTTCCATAATTTCCTTTCGAAGAGAGGCAGGCACGACGAGCAAGTGCGGGTTACCGGTTGGTGACAAGTTTTTCTTATAGAGAACATCGTTTCTCAAGCAAAAAGATGGTAGTCCTCTAGCAAATAACCGTGGCACGTCTTTACGTCGTCCTTCTAAATATTCAATGAGTGGTAACAGCTCAGGGTCACTGTGCTGCTCTCGTGCAATAGTGGCCGTGTTCACAACTCCCAAAAATGCCACGTCGATGTTTTCGTCATCAGGAGCGACAGTTTCCACTGGCGACCGTAAGAGACAGTCGGCGTCGGTGTGCCTCTTCCCAGATTTATAGACGACGGTCATGTCAAACTCTTGAAGCCTTAGGCTTCAGTGCGCCAAACGACTACATGGATCTTTGGGGTTGGTGAGCCAGCACAAAGAGCGATGGTCGCTAACAACCTTGAAGGAGCGGCCGTACAAATACGGACGAAATTTGATGACTGCCCACACCACGGCAAGACACTCCTTCTCGGTGGTCGAGTAGTTCTCCTCCGTGCGACAGAGAGTTCTGCTGGCGGAGGCTATCACTCTTTCACAGCCATCTTGCCACTTCACCAGAATGGCACCTAGACCTACATTGCTGGCGTCAGTGTGATTGCTCCTGTTCACCCCAAAAGAAGGGGACGTCTTCACGTGTGAGTCGTGTCATTGCGCCGCCATATACGAAAAGTCCTCGATAAATCGCCGGTAATAGGCGCACAACCCTAAGTAGCGTCTCAGAGCCTTTTTGTCACGCGGTGCAGGAAATTGCGCTACGGCGTCTATTTTTGCCGGGTCAGGTCGAACACCCTCATGACTGACGACGTGGCCTAAGAAGCTGAGTTTGTCGAAACCAAAATGACATTTTTCTAGTTTTAAAGTCAGCCCGGCCAAGCGTATGGCTTGGAGTACGGTGAATATAGGCTGAGATGTTCCTCGAATGATGCTGAGAATACAACATCGCCCAGATAGACCAAGCATGTTTGCCACTTCAGGCCCAATAGTACGGTGTCCATGAGACGCTGAAAAGTGGCTGGTGCCGAGCACAACCCAAAATGAAGCACCCTAAATTCATAAAGGCCATCAGGCGTTACAAAGGCCGTTTTTTCACGAT